GATTGTGTAAATCCTAACATGTCTAGGACATCCTTATGGGATTCTACCATATCTCTTAGACTAAATATTATCCTATTAGTGTTGTAATCCTATTGGGGTAAGGAATTAACCTTCTCTACTACTATAAATAAAGGCACAATGGGGTGGAATAGAACACACCTCGCAATTACACATCTCTCTCTATGCCGCACCCCTCTCTCATTCTGAATTCCATAATTGTTCAGTAAATTATGCTTACAACAACAATGAATTATTATGAAAATTGAACTGGTCTTTTCTGTAGGAATTTTCAGCTGATTTAATTTTGCAATTAAATTAATGTGCATTTTATGAATGAACACACCAACACACATACACATGCACTTTCACACACATAGTTTAGCAATTACAAGGCCTACTTAGGCCATTATTCGTGCAAAATGTAAATTTGTATATTGAGAAAAAGTTTCAAAGGAAAAAAGGTTTTGGATCACAGTATCCGAGAAAGCGATTCTCTCGGGCTAGTTCAGGTTGTTTGTAGTCTTTTGATCAAATCACTATCTGCTTAAGATCTTTCTCCAACTCTTATATGACTCATGCTTAACAATTAACAAATGTTGTAGCGTATAGACTAGTCAAGTTATGTTTATTTTTTAGCATAGATCGTTTAAGCTTTACGCACGTTCTCGAAATATTATCCGTGATGCATTACGCTGAAATTTGTATTGATTAATTTTAATTTGCCTATCAAAGAACAATTGGATGATACTATTTCACTTGGAGGCTTGGAGCTTCCTAATCCTCCTTCCTTTCTAACCAACTTGCTCTTCTATTATTACCTCTCTTGCGGATCCTCCGTGGCACACCGTTTTCTATGGAGCCGACGGACAGCAAAGCACACGTGTATCCTGTCCAACCCACACGTGTACTCCCGGTCAAACTTACCATGTCTTTGCTGGATCTAGTTAACGGTCAAATACCTCCTCACCCCCCAAATGATTTGCCCTCAAATTTTTTAATATCCCAACTATGCCCCTCATGCTTTCCTCTCACCTTCTTGACCGGCCGTGCCGGTTCCCCTACGCGCACAGACTCTTCCTAGCCGTCAGATGTTGCACGTGCGACCGCGGCCGATAAAGGTGGCCTAACTTTGATGGGCATTTTGGGGTGGGTCTCATGTGTCTGGTTCTCTGACCTGCTGAGCTGGTCAGCATGTGATTAAGCTGTTGGACGAATCGTTGCTTAATTCGATTTTTTCGTTTCACGTGCATCCAAATTTCATAGTCTAAAGTGCTATTAAAGTGATGCATTGACTAATATACCCATGTTTAACTTGATTGAATGGTGGTCCCGGTGCATAAATAAAGGGCACTTTTGGAAAAGTGAAAAGTGGGTATGATTTTATCAAGGATTGTGTTTGGAAAAGCATGTTTTGTTGGTGGGGTTTATATGATAATTGGGAATTACAGAGGATATTAGGCTATCATAGTTTAATCATTTGAAATTTATATCTATTTTATTTTTATTTTATTTTATTTTTGGTACTAGATTGAGTTGAGACTAATTAATCTTTTGATGAAATATAATTTTCTCTCCAACTTAATTATGTCAATACTTCAAATGATGAAAGCGTTCAATCAAAGAAGAGGGACGTCAAGGAGATTATCTCAAAGTGACATTTCTATGTACTTTTCGTCATATCATATTTGTGGCACAATGTTTTATAATATTAATATAGATATTATGCTAAAAACATGAAATGACAAAAAGTGTATAGAGAATTTCACTTCTAAAACAATCTGCTTAGCATTTTTAGTTAGAGAATTATATTATTAATATATAAGAGAGATTGGAAATCTCTGGAAGAAGTCCCACATCGAAGTTAATTATTAATGGGATTAGATTTAGTTAAAAAATGGTAATAATGATTAGGAAACAACCTAATTTTGCTTGGTTGGAAGCATGAGAGCGACCAAGTGGAATAAACAAATGGAATTTGGCCCTTTTTTTTAAATTCTAGGGTTCCTCCGTCCTTGTAAGCATGTTTCCTAAAACGTCGAGTTAATGAGCTTTAATCTCAGCATAAACGTGGTCTACTTGCATTATTATAACTAATTAATCAATCTTAAGCTGGCATGATGAGCTTTTCTCATATGAACAAAATAGCATAATTTAACCTTGATCACTAAGCCTCCTGCTCCTTACATTGCATGATGACAAATGCTAAAGCAACTTTCAAAAGTTTGACTATTTATGGATTCTCCGATACCTCATATTTTTTGGCATAATTCAGATGCTAACATTATAAAACAATGTGCAAAAAATATGAAACGACGGAGAGTTCATGAAGAGTCTTTGAGAGTCTCATTAACATTTCTCTTGCACGATTTTTTCTTAATTTACCTAAGCTTTACATTATTCATTACTTCTTTATGCATAAAATTCTTACTTTGCTAAACTTATCATTCATGATAAATTGTAGAATCATTTTAGTATAAAAGCACTTTTATTTATGGAAGCGCTTTTATGTCAAACACGCTTTATGTAGAGAAAAATGGTTGCTATATGCTAATGAGCTACAGCCAATTAGCCCTAATTCTGTTGAAGATCCAATATAACTGGGCCTTTGGGTCCTTGTAAATTTAGTTTTCGGCCCGGGTGTAGAACATTTGATTTTGTTTTCGTTTATATGGTACGCGTTTGGAAAAAAAATCTCACTTTCCTCTTGAACTTGCAACTGTGCGACTTTTCCCGATTTTCTTTCAATTTTTGTCTTCATTCTTATGTCATTTTATCATTAAATGGGTCAGGAAAATCGTGAATTTTCTGTTGTAGAAGTAGAGCCAAAATAAAGAAAACACCAAGTTTCGAGTGAATCGCTAGTTCCACATTAGTCAAATTAACAATAATTTATCCATGAAGAATTTTACTTATCCATTACATGTAAAATATAAAAAGGTTTTGTGGCATCATCCACACAAGCTTGGAGTCCTAACTTCAACTCTTCCATGCCGAAGAAAGAGTTAGGTTACGTTTGGTTGAGATTTTAGGGGAAGTTTTTAACTTCTGGCCAAAATTTTAGGCCGGTGTCGAGCTGGAGCAACCTGAAATGTATGACCTCTTAGTTCAATATTGATTAAGCCAGGCCCAAAGCAGAATATTATGATTCGGGTTATGAGTAATGTTTCAATTGATTAACTATTTTGCCTAATCATATTGATGTATTGCTCTTCTTCTTAATTTATGAAGTTATTTGTTCTTTTTAAAAAACCCAAAAAGTCTTTCATTGGAACTTTTCAATATCATTTTTGATTGAGTGCAAGACAAGTCATGGAATTATTTCAAATGCACTTTTTTTTATAAGTGATACTGGAGGAAAAAAAATTGAGCACATAAACATTTTATGTATAGTGAAAATTTTTAACGAACTAGGCTACAAATTTATTATGTTATGAAGGCACTTGATATATCGAAACCACACTTGAAAATATAATAAGGGTTAATCCTATTATTTTGGTGGGGCCTAGTAGGAATATTTTTTCTTTGCGAGTTTTTTTTTCCAGCTAAGCTACATTATGAGCAATCTAATTTGGTATCGAATTCGCCATCCACAAGATTCCAACCTAAGACCTCTCACTTCCAAATGAAGAGGAATATCACCAGATCGTAGTACTGAGTGGCAATTCTCTCCCACTTCTTATTTCAAAATGCCTTCAATATAGTGGATAGTCCTGTCTAAATAGTCATGTCTATTAAACAATGTCTTAATTAGTTGTTTCTTCATGAATCAAAATACCACTACCCCTTAGTGGGTTGGTTGGGATAGGTTATAACCAATTAAAATGGACCTGAGTCCAGTTCATTATTTGTTGTGTCAAAATATGAAATGGGCATGATTAGACATGATGAGTTATGAATCCACAATAGAGGTATTGCCGTAGACCTTCTACCTCCACGCAGCATTGCGCACTATTTTCCTATGCTCTTTCTTTCATGGTTGGATTTTATTCAATCTGAAAAGCAAGCGTATTTTCCTCCATAAATTGCCTTGGGAATGTTGGAAATGGAGGTACAATCTCTCAAGATTTCAAAGTCGGATTAGCGCTCCACGTGAATCATTCCAATATCGTCTCAACTTAACTACCTCAATAGCTTGGCAATGTTGGCTTCTATTACAAAAGATAATAGTGTTATTAGTAATGGAACCATTTATTTATAAGTAGCACTATATTATGTCAAGTTGCCGAGGTGGTATTGCATTCTACAACTCAATCGTGTGTTTAATCCTAGTTTTGAGCTTCCTAATATCAATTGCAAGATTGGCTACAATACTTTACATATATTTACTACAGTTACAGTCTACCTGTCAAATATAATACAAGTTAAATATATGTATTAATATAATTACCATATAACTATCAAAATGGTAATTATATTAAATACATATAAGTATATTATTCTACAATTTGCTAGGGAATGATATGAGTCAAATAAATGTATGGGAGGTAAACCTGTTAGGGCCGTGGTCAAGTTGCATTACTTGCAATGAACTCCTGGTGACTTGTTCGGTTGTTCCTCCAATTTGAAACGTCCTAAACTCTAAAGTGCCACTTTACGTTGTACCGTTAAAAGCCGCAACTTGATTTTCTTCTAACAATGGCCCAAAATTTCTCTAGGAGTAATATTACGCAACACTAAATTTGTTCACCAAATAACGTCCACACTGTATCATTTATTAATATCTGGGGCATCCTTAGACCTCGTTTACATTTAACTACGACTCGGACGCATCATTTGGTGAATATAAAAAAAAATTATGCCTCTACTCAGACATGTTTATCATCATGCATCCTTTTGTTCCATTCAAGTTGGGATCGTCACGTTTCAGGCACAGCCATAGATAGGCAAGCAAGCAACCTCTTCCTCTATTGGGCCATCAATAACCAAGAGAACTCAGAAAATAGCAACCAGGAATTCAATGTTCATATTTGTCTTAAAAACGAACCGAAGAAAACACCCAATAAAACCGAATCATACTCTCTTTATATGCAAATCACAGTTTGACACATAAAGGAGTAGTTGAAAAGGGAAAGGAAACAAAAGATCAAGTTATCCAAGATCGTGGAGTTTCGACATCTACTATCTTCCTCGAAGAACAACTCCTGCTATTCCAGAACAGAGCTCAAGCCAACAATTCACACAATAAACAGCAAGCTGCTTAAAAGATTTGCATAATTTGCTACCTGATTAACTTTTCGATCATACTACCTTTGAAATGAAGGCAAGCTTACCAGAGCTGGCACAGGAATACGAACACTTGTTCAGCTATTTTAACAATCGACAAACACCCTGTGAGGCTTCAGCCACAAAGAACAACAGCAAAGGAAAACATTTGATTCCGAAGGTTTGATGGAATTGTTATGATGTGAAACCTGTCACACACAGCAAAACAATTTGTACCAATTTCAACTTGAAGAAGCAGCTAAAGCTGACTTCCATCCTGACTGTGAAGCAGAAAATAAATGTCAAACACTTGGTAGTCATAGAAGAAGTATTAATACGACGCCGTTGCTAATCAGTAGGAATAGCATATCAAATGACAGAAAACAAGTAAATAAAACACAAGTGCCTTTACCGTTCAGAAATTGGTTTTACCAACAGTCTTTATGACAAGGGAACTTTAAGAACAAATTGAAAATAGCACAAGGAAAAATAAAAGAGAGAATACGAAATTGGACTTCAAGCACCAACCAGACTGAAATTATGAAAGAGCAGCAACTATAAAAGGCAATGCTTTTGTAACATGAGAATATAACAAAGGATAGAAGACAAGCTACATAAAAGAAGAATAAAGGTAACATTATTATGTCAAACAGTTGAACCCAAAGCCTATTTAAACACCGCTTTTATGTGCAACTGATCAAATTCCCCTAAATTCCTTTTGTACTTGAAGGAGGGAAGGAATAACATGGGCGTTAACACTTTGACTATTCTGACCTATTAACAGCCAGGAAGCTAGAGAGAACAGATTATGGCCAAGAAAAGTGGCAGAAATCATGAACACCAGAGATTTACCATCAGACAGAAAATGTGAGACTGACATCTATAGGAAGTCGAGAATGATTAGCATTAACTAATTAATCTGGTTTGGATAGACTAAAAAATATCCTAACCTTGAAGCAAAATAAGATATATCTTTAAATTCATTAATACCATTAAAGAAGGAATCGAATTATCAAATTACCCATACACGCACAAAATATATATTCATGCACAATAGGAACATCTATAGTATCCCACATGCCTAAATATTAAATGTGCAAACCTATATGTATAACCTATTTACATGCCTTATGCAAAACTTACCACGGGCACAAGCATCAGTATGATTAACATGGAAAAGAAAAGTTAAATGGACGAAACATGCAGATGCAGGGAAACACTACATTCAACCTCAGAAAAGGTTTGCCTTGTCGGTCAGTTGAACTGGAGCTCTTCCAGAACAAGGAAGCATGCAGTCAATAAACCCTGTATTGAAAAACAGTTTGCAAGACAATGCAAAACCTGCCCCCCCCCAACGATGTAGGGGAGCCTGTCAAACTTTACAAATCAAACAATCAGAATCATTCAAAAAATGAACGAAAGCACAACGAATCTCCGACAAGCCTAATCGATTAATACCATTAACAAGAGAAAGGTCTGAACTTGACGCTATATCATGTACATATATAGAAACTCCATATATTTTTACATATTAGACCTACTTCCATATAAAGCAACTAGATTTACCCTGCATCCTGCCCCTAATGAGCAATACAATAAGGCCAAAAAAAATAAAACTAGACATTAAAAAAGGAAATTAGATATCCTCTCTCCTTTTTTCCTCTCATGGATTTTTGTTCTGCCTTGTATAGGGTAAATTCCAATTCTTCTTCTGTAAAAGTTGAGCGCATGATACCTCAAAGATTGAGGCTTCCAGTCTACAGCTGCAGCAGCAATTTCCATTTACGAAGTTTCGAGACAATCATAATCTTCCGGTCACCATACAAATCTACCTCTGCAACAAAAACCCAACCATCCATTAGCAACAAAAACCCCACAAAAACATGAATTTGCAGAAACTCAGAGAGAAAGAGATAACCTTACATGGAGAATCAGCAGACTTATAAGCATCAGCAGTAACACCAACCAGCCACAACCCAGGAAAGATACTCTGCAAATTCATGCAACCCCAAATAAATTACAAAATTTCATAAAATAAAACAAAATTCATGTTAAATTAAAAAAAAAAAAAAAAAAAAAAACACAGAAAAAAAAAAAAAAAAAAAAAGGAGGAAAGAGCAAAGTGGACGTACATCGAGCTGCTTCTGAACATTCTTGGGTCGCTTCTTGGGCCTTCTGGAGGGCCTCGACCCGGTCATCACGAACACGTCCTCTTCAATCTCCTCCTTCGACAAAGCGATCCAGAACTTGCTCTTCTCCTTCTTCTTCTTCTCCACACTTTGCCCCTCCGCCAAACCCCTCAACCTCATCGACTTCGGCTGCTGCTGCTGCATCATCTCGCTCTGACTTCTGTTCGGCCCTTCAGGTTCCTGCCCTTCCCGGTTCGCACCAACCGCGGCGTTAGGGCCACTTGCCTTTTGAAACGACGCCGTCGCGGGAGGTCTCCTGGGCCTCAAATTCCAGGGCTTCTGAAGTAGCACCTCAGCTTCCTCCTCCTCTTGATCGCTCTCCCTCTCCTCGCTCCTACGGCGCTTGTTTTCCGAGCACGAGATCAGCGATAATCGGCGGCGATCGGCCCGGGAGGACCCGACCCGGTTGTGGCGGTCGGATTCGGAGTCGTGCTCGGAGGCCGGTTCAGCGGAGGCGGGTCGGCGGTAGCGGTTGTGGTTGTTGGCGGTGGCGTTCTTAGTCCCCCATTTCAAGAATGTGAGCGGGAAGTTGTGCAGCGGCGGCTTCACTGGCGCTGTCGCCATTATTCCTGATCAACACGCAGAGCTAAAGCCTTCAGAGTTTCAAACCAACAAGCCGGCTATACATATACACCAAACTGTATCTATCTATCCGTCAATCCTTTATCAGTTTATGCTTGTGCTTCAAGTTTTTAGAGAGAGAAAGTGAAGGAGGAGAGAGTGAGCGAGAGTAGGTTATTTGTGATGTGAGGAGAAGAGAGGTGGGGGGCTTTCCTTTTAATGGTTGTACTACTACAAATACAGTAGGGAGACGGAAAACCAAGGGGCTGTGGTCTTTCTACCCTCTACGCCTACGACTCTACGGCGTTACGGTTTTTAATTACTATTTTACCCTTTCTTTTTAATTTATTTATTTATGGCATATTTGTTGAGGGGATGTCCCCTTTTTTATTTCTTATACATCTTTATTAATTTCTGTCCGTTGATTTTCTTCAATTCATCCGATCTGATGGTTAAAAACCAAAAAGGTATGGGAGAAGTAAAAAGTGGTGTGTGGATATCACATCCCTTTATTGATTTGCTTTGGGAATGCGTACAGAGCTGCCAATTTTTCATGAACTTGAACTTTAGCTAATTACCTTTTGAAATTTTTATTAGCTAATATTTTCTTTGAATTTTAATTTTACCTGATTACCCTTTAAACTTTTATAAATAACAAATTTTCTTATGTTGCTAGATTTTAAACTTTTTTATCTAATTTTTCATCAATTTTGATCACTTGAATAACACATAATAAATTTTAGGGGTAAAGAAGAATGAAAATTGGATGGATGAAAATTTTAAAATCTAACTAGGGATAATTGGGTATTTATAAATTTTAAAAAGATAATCAGTTAAAGTTAATTTTAGAGAAAATTTAACTAATTACAAAATTTCAGTAGAGTAATTGATTAAAATTAAAGTAATAAGAGAAATTGATAGCTGACAAATGTTCTTTATTTCTTTTATTTCTTTTGTTTCTGATTGTGGGCCAGGTTGGACCATTTAATATCCTGCTTCTTTTTGTTGTACGTTTTGACCTATTGGGTTGGGGTCCTTGGGGAGGTGGGTTTCGCAGTCAGTGTACAACATCTTTAAGCGTAAAAAAGGTCGACGGTTAATCGGACGGTATATATGATCATCTGAGAATATAATTGAAGGTGATGATGGGTCACTATCTGTCTGCGAGTTGTATATTTTGCTCCAGTTCATGTTGGGCTTTCGTAGTAACGTGACTGAAACCTATATTTAGTGTCTTATTCGGAATGTGATTCTATTTCCCCCTTTTTTTTTTTTTTCACTCCTCTTCCATTCCTTTTATTTGAACGGTCACGGTTAAACTATATCAATATTTTATATTAATTTATATAGAAGACAAAGACAAAATAGATAATGTGAGAGGAGGAGAGGGAAGTGGATGAAAAGAGGAGATGAGACAATCCTAATCCGTCTTATTGAGATCTATTTAAAAAGTCAACTTTGAATGATTTTAAAATGATTGAAAAGTTACTTGGGCAAGTGTATATTTTGGAAAAAGCACCGGTTATCATTTATATGTTTTTTGCAAGAAACACTTCAAGCGTTTTTCTAGGATTCACTTGCATTTTTATTAAAGATTGATTCCAAAAATGGTTTGGATCATTTTAAAAGCACTTCTAAACACATTCTTAGTTACTAATTTAGTTTATTAATGTGTAATGGTATTTTTAGCATTCATGTCTCTGTGTTTTCTTGTAAGATGGGGATTTAGGTTCCTGCCTATTAGAATTAAGTCTTTATAAATAGAATGATTGTAACTCGATTGGGATAATTTTTGTGGCAAGATTTAGCTTATTTGAGTTATGTAGCTTTATTGACAATTTTTGTAGTTTTTGTTGCTTTTAGATAATAAAAGAGTACTCCTAGTTTGGTAGCTTATTTGAGTTATGTAGCTTTATTTGACTTTCACACTGTTGAAATCAACCTTGCCACGAACTCAATGTCTTTGTGGTGGTTCAACATCGGAAAAGGAGAGTGTCATTGTGTGTCGTTATGATGTTGCTGCGTTTTTGAGTGGTTTCTGATTAATGAAGGTCAGTTTCGACTTTCATAGCAAAATTGTTCAAAAGGGTAATTTTGTAAAAGTGTGATCAATAGTACAACCAATCGTCAAAACATGTTTAAAGTGGCGAATTTCCCGAAATAAAACTTGGCCCTTTTAGCCCAAGAATTTAGCCTAATCAATTGAATTATGAGGCAAAGTGGCCCTAACCCAAGCCTTAAACAACGTGAGACTGGCTTAAAATTAAGCAAAAAAAGAAACAAACATGAGCAGAAGAGCTCCTTGCAAGCCAATTGAAAGACGACACATATACAAGTTGTCAAATTTTTCTCCATGACTTGTTCATCAAAGGAAGAAAGATAAATGATGGTAAAATTGAAAGAGGTCAAATAACAAAAAGAATCTCACCTACTAGTGTAGATATGTTGTCAACATGCGACACGGGTCTTTGATAAAAGCAGCTAGGTATCATAAAAGTGCTACTAATCTCCGGGATGAGGTGAGATTCTTGAGTCCCAAGCATTCTAAGAAGTTCAAAGATCCACCAAACAAAGACAAATACGACCTTTCGTCAATTCAATCGGCCCCTCGTGAATGGCACATTGTTTTGAATCGATACAAAGATAAACCTTCCGCCAAACCAATCAGTACCAAGGTCATCTGCAAGGCCAAAGGAAAGAAATGGCCCGAAAATAATTGATTTACGCAATGGAGACGACTGTAATGCAAGACTTACAAGAGGCAGAGTTAAGGAAGAAATAAAAAATGAGGAGTATCATCTCGAACAATCACTGATGGGCAAGGGAGTAGGGGTGGTGAAATGATGATACCTATCATCTCGAACACCAAACAATAGACTGTATTCAAAGCCTAGCCTAGCCAATTCCTGCCGATCCACTGTTATTCTTAAGGTCCAATCCCTCCAGCCTATTAAAAGGATTTTAAGGATGCGTTTGTTGTATTGGATTAAACTAGCTTCAAGTTGGACTGGTTTATAATAGATTAAGATATACTAACTTAGTAAAACATTTGATGTAGTATTGGATTAAAAAAAGAATAATTAACAACTGCAATATTATATTATTTAATACACATCTAATAATATTTTATTAATAATTCAAGCTTTTTCTTCTTCTTCTAGCATTGAGTTGGAGGTTGGGTCCAACTAGCATTGAGTTGGGCTAGGATTTGTGGGCCCACTTTGGGTCAATTTTTCTCTTGTTCCCAATTTTTTTTATCCTTTCCCAAAAAACCGTCGCTCTCTCCCCTTCTCTTACTCTCTCTCCCCCACCTCTGAAGCTTCCCTAAAACCCACCGGCTTCGACCTCACTTCAGCAATTCATCTCTCCAGCGTTTCGTGGGGAATCACCTCTCGCACTCTCGGAGAAATGGATAGGAGATTAAATGGACCAACTGGACCTTCGAGCTCCGTCAATGGCGGCCCAGCCACAAGATCGGGTTCTCATGCTCCGCAACCTAACTACAATAGTCGAGCTGTTCAGGTTCATCTCTATTTATTTTCCTTTTCCGTCCTTTAAAATAGATACTGCCTAAAACCCTTGCTGTCTCTATAGCCACGGTTTGGTTCCACTTGTCTGCGTTTTTGTTCAAAATCCGTCCGTAGCGGTATTTGTATGGGACTATTACGATGACGTTTTGGTGGGTTTTGGAGAATTTTATTTGTGAATTGTACAGGGAGTTTGGGTAGGCAGATTTTGGGAATTATTGTTTATGTTGTTTTACTACTGAGTGCAATGGGAAATTGTTTTGAAAGGTACACCCTGATGCATGTAGTTGAATCATATGAACTTGTGCATTCAAAGTTAGTATATAGGGTTTTAGAAATGTTAAAAGAGAGTGTGTGGAGAAGTGGATTGAGGCGTGGTGTACCGGAAATGTTCGGTTTTAGGCTAGCAACTTAGCACAAAATTGGGAGTTGAAGTAAAGGTGTTATGTTTAAAGCACTTATTTACTTCAATTTCAGACAAATATTTGATTTATTAGGTTTGGTTATTCTTAATATTCACCTTATCGAACGATCTGTAATATCTGGAGTTATATTTAGTACTTTGTAGTTAAAGAAGATCAGAAGTCATTTGTATTTTGCTTTATAATTTTAATTTCAGGAAGCATTGGAACAGTTGGCATCGATTGATCTAATTGACTTATGCAATGAATCTAAAGTTGAGTGCTGTCGGGCAACACGAGACTTGAGGAGTTGTGGACGACAAGTAAAGGATGTGCTCATCTCGTGTGGACATGCTTCATTATGTGCAGAGTGTAGCCAGCGCTGTGATGTGTGTCCCATTTGTAGAATTCAAATACCAAAGAATGGCGCAAAATTATGCCGACGCCTTTATGATCAGTGTCTAGAAGCTCATCTTATACCCAAAAGATGTGATAAGAGATTTCAAGAGAAAGAAGATGGGGAGGAGCAAATATCTGCTGATGTCCAACGCCTTTATTCTTTATTTGATGTTGCCCTGGAGAATAACTTAGTTTCTTTGATATGCCACTGTATCCTTTAATGATCTTTCGATTCTTTACCTTTTCGTTTTTGTTTTGTATTATTTGTTCACGTGATAGAGAGTTCAGTTTTAGAAAATGACCACAACTTTTAATATCTTCCAATTATATGGAAAGGGGAGTACGTAAAAAAAGATAAAAATTCTTGTTCCTCAGGGTAAAAACTCATTATTCTAGGGAGTAATTTGAATCAACTGCTAAACAGATAACTAGGATTAATGTCCTCTTGATAGTGCTATTCGTGCGTTATAGGACCTTTTGTCTTTCTTGAAACTTAACTGCAACTTCTGTTAATTGTTCATATTTATGTTGATCATTTCATGTTTTCTTTGACATAGAATAAACAGATGTTACAGATGTTTGTTTGGATGAAAGTGCAGTATCCAGTGATCCCGTTATTGCTTTTTTGTTGGATGAAGTGGTTGTGAAGGATTGGTGCAAGCGAACATTCCAGAACATCATCACAGAACTTCAAGGCATTTGTATCCTTTTTTCTTTCTCAGATATTTTCAAATATAAATCCCGTAGTTATTTTCTGTTCATTTGTACTTTGCATTATTTGAATAATTTTTATTTCCTAATCTACCATCCTAAGATAATCTTGAAGCGGAACCGATGAAGTCTATGTTGAGTTTACTTCTTAAGTTCTCAGTACAGTTGGCTGGCATATCCAGTGTGATTGAAGTTTTGGATTCATCTTTGAAAGGGTCTTTTTCAGCTCAGCTTCATGACTTTCACCAGCTTCAAGAAAGCATATTAAAGACAAAGCAGGTTGTTGCTATGATGGTTTAATTTTTGGTTTATCATGATAGTGTTGCCTGATTTTTATTTGTGAATATTTTCTGTGACTGATAACATATTATACATGCTTTAGTTCTCTAAAGAACTAATAGTTTGTATTCTATACTTATTTAAACTCTCGAAGAACTAATAATTTATTTACCTACTATTTTAAGGCCTGAAGTTCTGAAGCTTTGGAAACACAAGAAGTGACATTCTTTTGGACTTTATTTCATGGAACTTTAACTGTTTCCTTTGTGCATCTTTTCACTCGTGCCTAAAACTTTCTTGCAGCAAAATCACTACCTGTAATATATCACTACTACCTTATCAGTTTAGTCAAGTTTTACATGTTTCTTCTGAACTGTTCTCAATTATGGATTTCCAAAGAGACTGGGTTTCCAATAAATTTTTTTATGTGTCTGCAAACAATTTCTAATTGTTCTTTGAAATTTGGTTTTTGATTTTAGCATATGGAGGTTATGATATGGTGTGTAAGACATGAGTTCCTTGAGAAAGTGAGGCCTCGTTATACTGATTTCTCATCATGGCATTCTCTTGTCCGTGAAAGGAAATCTGCTGCAATTAAGCGTTCTTGGCCTGATTCTGTAAATAACTCTGAAGAGTCCAGTGGACAGGAAGGTACCCTATTTATTGAAGATGCCCTGGTAAATCTGGAGGTTGGGCAGGGAAATACAGAGAAATTGGTGGAGGGATTAAAACTAGGATCTTTGCAGAAGGATGGAGTTTCATCAGTTCTCAGGTCTAAGATAGAAGGGGTTGCAGGATGCTATCCATTTGAAAATGTTCGAGCTGCTGTTGATATACTTTTTCTATGTGGTAGTTCAGATTTGGTGGTTGCGAAGCAAGCTATTGTATCCTTTGTTTTTCTTTAAATTTTGGATATTTCTTAATTCTGCATATCCTGCACTGGGCATAAATTCTGCCTCCCCTACCTCCAGGGATACCTGTATTTCCTTTATTTATAACAGTTTCTATATTACCTATTTGATCGGCATTGGACAATGCCTGATGAGCAATGGAGACACCTTCTAGACGATTTTGGAGCTACTTTTGGCATACCCAGGCAATTACTACTGGAATCCTTAATCTTTTATCTTTTGGATGATCACACAGATAAAGCTCTGCAGGCAAGTTCATTTTAATTTTTTCAGATGGTTAATGCTTTTGAATGCCTATTTTTCTTTTATTTAGTGCTGTTAGTTTCATGTTTAACCAATTGTATCAAGGTTCTTAATGCTATTTATATTTATATTTTAGGCATGGTTCACATGTCTATGGTAAGACTGGCTTCTAAAAAAAGGGTTCTCTCCAGTCCTTGCTACTCTAGAAGGCCAGGTTCCAACTTGAGAAATCTCAATAAGCTTTGTGTCAAATGAATCGACTTGTTTAAAAATAAAATAAAAAGACGGATTTATTTGACTATAGCTGTTGTTGTGCTGCTTGTTCAAGTTCCAAGTAAACCACTTTTTAATTTTGTCGTTAGGATAATTAGATGAATTGGTTCATGGTATGATGTTTATGATCCAAGAATATACGAAAACTTTGAAATAGTAGTAGATTATATGTGAAACTAGTTGCATCTTGACTGGGGAAAAACCACAAAATATTTAGTTTTGCATTTTGTTATATTGGTATTTGATTATTTAGTCTTGAAATATAATTTTAAATAATTATTCTTCATAATAAATTTCTCAGGAAGCTTGTCACCTTCTTCCGGAGATCTCTGGTCCAGCAACTCATCCTAAGATTGCACAAGTACTATTAGAAAGGGGTAATCCTGATACCGCTCTTTTGGTTTTACGGTGGTCCGGGCGTGATGGTACATCAAAGTCGTCAATATCACTTGTTGAGGCTGTTACTGCAGTTCGGGTGAGGGTAGAGTGTGGACTTTTCACCGAAGCATTTATACATCAAAGAATGCTGTGTACCAAAGTCAAGGAGAAGATGTTGAAGGTTGGAGAATTGGGGGATGCAACTGATGATTCAAAAAGCAAATATAGGAGTTGGGAAGACTGGGTGGAGATATTGGTCACTGAAATTTGTGTCCTCTGTATACGACGGAGCATGCTAGACCGAGTGATAGAGTTGCCTTGGAACTCTGATGAAGAGAAACATCTCCACAAGTGCCTGTTAGATTATACCATTGATTATCCTTCCTCAACTATTGGAAGCCTTCTTGTTGTATTCTACATTCAGGTAATTATTGTCTATGTTTACTGTTGACTTCGGTTCAAATTGGAGTAGTTGTGGTAAGCATCTTGCTATTGCTATGTTCATGTGCATCTTGAGGGAAATCATCATGAATTTGTTGGTAGTTCTGTAGCTCAGAATGCATCCGAAGCTTGAGATTAGTAGCTTATTTCCTCTGGGGCCTGTGATGACGTGAGAGTTGAAGATGACCTGCAAATGAAGGGATCACAGGCCTTTTTTATTAGCCATGTGGCATTTTAGCAGGAGTCTCACTTACTATTTTCGAAAGTATTCATCTGGTTTTCTTATAGGGAAATGATAAACGCACACCCTTTTCTTCTCTAACACACCCCTGATTGATCATGTTCATTGTTTTTGTATGATTTATTCAACCCGATTGCCTGAAATAAAGAGGGGTGTGTGAGAGACTAAAAAGGGCATGTGAAAATCAGCACCCTTCTTATATTATTAGTTTGTAGATTATTTTATTTACTTATTTATCCAAGCTATATGTCAGTACTTAATTCTGTTGAAAAAGCAAGCTTTGTGATCAGATGTGCTGACATAAGTTGCCCATTTTCCCCCCTTCTAAGCGGTACCGGTACTCTGAAGCTTACCAAGTTGATCAAATACTTAAAAACCTGGAGAAGGAGTTCACTTCAAAGAAGTCTGTCAGTGAAGAAGTTTTATCTCGAATGAGATCTATGAGCGGATGGAGAGCTGGATTAATCGTAAGTGGTTTAAGTGTTAAGACTGTATGAGGACATTTTGGTCTCTGAGTATACCCTAATTGGTGGAGTATATGGTCATCAGTTTTGTGAATTCCTTTGCTTATATTCTTATTTTGATACTTAGCGGTATCTTGTAATGCAATGTATGATCGAGCTAAACAAAAGGAGTTTATTTGAGCCAATGTTGCTATATGACAATCAGAAGCCTACTAGTCTTTTTGTGGTTAAACATTTCTGCATTTGTGTTGATACTGATTGTCTTTCTAGGAAAACGTGTTTCCATTGCTTGAAGCATGGTGGAGTTCTATTTGTGGGTGCATGGTGCTCTCCTTGTTTTTCTTTTGTAATGCTTTGCTTTTGATGGACAGGATAAATGCATGGAGTTGCTACCAGAAGTCCAACGACAAGAAATAAAGTCGGGAAAGTTTCCTGAGGTAGCTGTTACCACCTCTAGTGAAGTTGAAATGGCAGCAGCATCACTTCCTGAAGTGCAAAAGTCACAATCAATTAGTATGCTGATTCCTTCAACCATTGATTCTTCCCTTGGTTTATGGTCGGATTGTGTGAATCCTTCCTGGAAACCGTCAATATCTGAAACACCAAAAAAAAGAGTTGGGTTGGTTGACAGTTATCGCTCTGAACTTGGTAACAATGGTTCAATTCTTCATGAGAAGTTACTTAGCAATTCTGAAACACAATGGAAGCCTGATGATAGCGTAAACAAGGCTTTCAACTTTGAAGATGCATCAACTCCTGGAATTCATTGGGCTACTCCCCCCTCATCCGTCAAGGACAGGAAAAAGAGTTCATCAAGAGTACTTTCAAATAGCCCTCTCCAAGACAATCAATATGCTAGAATGTCACCAGAAACGGAACGGAACAAGAGGTTCAACCCATTCCAAAATTCAAGTCCTTCGAACTTTTACAGCGCTGATTCTAATCCAGTAACTACACCCAGCAGCAACCGTGGCCTGTTTAAAGATTCCGCAACAGACCTGCGTCGGAGTGTGAACAGTAAGGGGTTCCAACGAGATAGGGACAATAGAACTTGGAATATGGCTTCCAAGGATGACCCAATGGACATTTCTTTGAGGTGAGAATTCAACGATTTTTGCACCTCTTGCCCCATTAAAGTTGCTTTTCTTGCTTTGTTGCCTGTGTGGTTAACCACCGTTGGAGAATGTTTTGTTAATCTCCATTAATACAAATTATTTTTCTAATCTTCAGATATGGAGAAAAGAGTCATGTGATTGAGGACGAAAACTTAAACAATGGACCGAGATGGAGGTCTGACGAAGCTAGTGACGAGGAAGAGGAGCAGAGTCCACAGAAAGCCATTGGGATCACTCATCGTGCTTCTACTGCGAGGGCATTACGAAGAACAAGATTTTCCAAGCGATGAAGATATTCCAGATGCACTTTTTCTTTTAACTTAAAATGAACTCTTGTCCAGCCATGGTCCTTCCTCAGTATGGTCTGGGTAGGAGGTAACCTTGAAGGGATATAGAGAAACAAGAGCGGCTTTCTTGTAGGTGCCGGTTGAGTTGAAGGGGTTCCCTTCGGAGGGCAAGTAACTATAGTGTAGACAAAACTGTTTTATAGCTGTGCCGTGCGGCTAAGATGCATTTAATCGGATTGTCTAATTCGAGGGGCCATTTTCTCTTCCTTCCTGCAATTGTGTGCATCTAAGTTGATCAGAGATGAAGTTGTGGTTTTTTAGCGGCTACGAATTGTGCAGGAGTGGGGGGATTTTTGAATCCTTGTTGAAGTAGTTTGATTGCTGAGAGATTGAGGCAAAAAAGGCCTTGTAGTTTCAACATTTTGGAGCTCTAGTTTAACATTAAATACTTTCGTTTTATCAGAATGATAAATGCTCACTTGACAGAAGAAATAATGTTTGGTGCGTCCTTGATGTGTATAATCTCTAGTTTAATAGATGCTAATACCAATGCATCAGCAGATGAGCATTCGGTATGGTTTAAATAGACGGTCTCCTTAGCATTACTGTTTACGAAAAAATGACTATAAGAATGAAATATGAGAATTTAACAAAGAAATGAACACAATGGGTTGGTTTAATAGAGAGCTAGCAAAGATTTGAAACCTTGAACTCAAATTCGAACTCGCTAGTCACACAGACGTATTTCTGGAGTCACTAACTTTGTTTTTGTGTACTTTTTAATTCGTAGGTAAAAGTGTGTCTGTCACCACATACATGTGGTATTGGAGTTGTATGAGGGGAGAAATTATTCCGCCAACAACATGTGATGGATAGATCCTTGCATTCAATTTGAATTTTCTTAGCGTAATTAGAGCAATTTAGAATGCGTAATACCACTCACTTGTGTACTTTATATATTCACTTTCTAATTTGTCCAAATAAAAAAAAATGACACCAAAAACCCAAAAAAAATTAAATAATATATCATTTGGACAAAATAAAAAGAGGAGTGCTCAGTGACCAACCAAGTATAATCAATTAAGAACATGACTAGAAATATTGCCCGCGCGTTGCTGCGAGATTAAAAATCGTATGAAAAAATGTTTCAAAGCTTATAATAAATTGTTATAGAATGTTAATGTTATCAACACCGAAAGACGTTTGAACTTATTGAAAGAATTTTTACATGAAGAGCATAAATTGGATGAATGAAGCTCTTGAAATTCTTTGAACCACTCTGAGTAGCATTACCTATGAATTATTGATTGGGTAACAAAAATTAGTAAAAGAGTATAATAGATGAAACTTTCATATGTATAATTCAAACTTCTAAACATTTATCCGTACTTTACAAATGATTAGAAACTGCCAAGATAACAATTGGTATCACATAATTAGTATGCTATTAAACATAATGAATTCCATGAAGCAAAAAAATGATATGCAATTTTAACTTACGATGCGAAAGGAGCTCTATAAGAGTAGCTAGGTCCTCTTTGTTTTATCCATCAAAGGCATTGCAATTGTAGATCCTGGAAATTATAAAAATCCATCCAAGAGACAAAATTCAATAGTTATGGGTGAAGTGAAAATGGAACCACAAATGTAAGATATACTTGACAAATTTGCAAATTCATTACAATTTCAATTGAATTTCCAACTTGATTTTCTCGCTTAAAAATCTTAATCTACAAAACCAAATTAGTTTTATCAAACAACATTCAAAAATAAAATCCAGTAAAGGAAAAGATCAATTGAATAACTTGAATAAGTGGAAGCATTCATACCTCAATTGAATTTCCAGCTCAATTTTGTCGCTTAAAAATTATGGTCTGCAAAACCAAATCAGTTGTATCAACAATAAAGCATCAATTTATGAAAGCAAAGACATCACATAAAAAGAACATTAAAACTGGAAACCAAGTCGTGATACTTCACCATTTGACATAGAAATTTTATCTTGCCAAACATAATTTTGTCACAATTTGTCACTCGTATTTTTTTTATACAAATTATTATACCATTATAAACTCAAAAAAATACATGCTAAAATCATTTTTTGTATCTATACATTGATAATTTGAGATTCAATACAGAAAACAAATCTATAATTTAGGTTTTAAAATACATTATAAAATCAATTAATACAAACAAAGAAAGAGCATCACACCAAACAATTTCATCAACCCCAGAAATCCGATTGCCTCATCACTTCACAAAACAATATTTTTGAAAACAGATTGAATGCAAGCACCACTAAACTCTAAAGGCGGCACACAGAACCCTAAAAAACCGCTATTTCCTCAAAACGAAAAGAGAACCACGTTATCTAGTTACACCTAGGATCCAAACACACAAACAAAAGCTTCTAAATTAAAAATGATCTCCATTTTCGTGTATTTATACTGTTCAAATTATCCCCCTTTTTGACCTTTTTGAATAACATGTAAAGCTATGGTCCTCAAGCTATGAAATGAACCTAGCACACCTTCTACCACAGTGACAAAGATACTGCACCGACTACTCTTCTAGGCATATGCATTTCTCACTAATTTTAATCATGACCATTCCTCTTTTTTTAAATTTTCAGGAGAAAATTGAACCACAAACAAACAAAAAACACAAATAAAAAATAAATTTAACAGCAAAGAGATAAAATATATACCTGATCCAAAAATGGTTTGTAAGCTTCAGAATAAAACCCTAAAAGACACAAAAATCTAATATATATAATTCCCACAAAATCTAAAATTCCCATATATATATATATATATATATAAGGGAAGTCAAGGAGATTTTGGAAACTGAAGGAGATTTGGAGAGATGCAATTGAAGAAAACCCATTCATGATGATTGACGCGTGGCAAAACAGTGGACGACATGTGGGTAAAAATTGGAGGGATTGCGAGGAACGATGTGCGGAAGAAAAGAAAGACGTGATGAACAGTGATGGGGAGCTGTTTCAGATGCCATGATGTTGCGTTTTTTAATTATTTTTTTCTGGTGATAGGCATGCATGTTAAGATTTTTGGTTTTTTTAATTATTTTTTGGTGGAAAGGCATGCATCATGCTGCCAGGTGTGGATCAGTAAGATTTTTTAATTATTTTTTGGTGGAAATGTATGTACCATTGCTGCCACATGTGGCTTAGGTAAGGAAAAAACGCTGGAATCGAAGAGGGGTCAGAATGAGAAAAAAATATACACAAGATGATCAACATTTAGGGCAAGGTGGTCATTTTCTTGCAGCAGAGGGGGAAAAAAGACCCGCAAGGAAGGAATGGAAGGGTAGCTTGGGGAGTTCACTGCTGGTGAACAGTCGCCCCTCTTGCATGATGAACAGTGGAGGCCAACCGCGCACGAAATGGAAAAAAGGACATTGCAAAGACTAACATGAGGGGCATTTCAGTCAGTTCACTGTACCAAGCATGTAAGACAACATGAAACAAAGAAGACACCAAAGGACATTTAAGCTCGTGAACAGTGCTTTTCAACCGGGTTTTAGTATATAGGTAATTTGAAACATGTGTCAAAATATCGTTAGGGTCGAGTGTCGACTGAGTTTTGAAAAGCAGGAGGACTAAAAAGTAAGGAAGCGGATGACGACGGAGGCGGTGAACCTGCCGATCATAGACTTGTCCTCATCGGATTCGATCTCCTCCGCCAATTCAATCCGTCAGGTTCTCTCTCTCTCTCTCTCTCTCTGTATGTCCCTATAACTATTGCATAGCTGTATTTACACAGGCATGCATGGAGTGTGGTTTCTTCTACCTGGTGAATCATGGCGTCGAGGAAGAGCTGTTTGCAGAGGTGTTCGATCAGAGCAGCAACTTCTTTTCGCTTCCTTTGGAAGATAAGTTGAAATTGACTCCCAAGCACCAGAGAGGAGGCTACAGGCCACTATTTTCAGAGAATCTCGACTTCGCTTCCAGCTCCAAAGGTTGCTAATCATCCTACCATTTCATCTCTTCTTTAAATCTTTTTGCTTAGAAAGTTCAAAACTGAAAATTCGGTGATTAAAGTGTAAATATAAGAAACCAAATGGAGGGACGTTAAACTAGAAAATGGGTTAGTATACCATACAATGATGATACGATGCCTGGTTTCTGAAATTGTTTTGAAATGATCAGGATAAGTAATAAGTTGGATATTCCATTTTATTTTCAAATAATGTAGTTCATTGATGAATTCATTATAATGTGCATAACATGTTGGTCGAAGTTACAATTTGTTGCGCTAATGTTCTTGTTATCATTTGGAATAGTGTTAATTCAATTGTGATATTCGAAAAATGTTTCAGGTACTATCTATTAAACTGTTGTGCTGGGTTGCCTTACTTTAGTTTTCAAGTTGTGCTGAATGGAAAAGGAAAGGATGTTGATTTTATCTCTTTTGGGTCGTTTGTGAAATAGGTGACTCGAAAGAGAGTTTTAATGTCGGCCCATTAGATGACCCAACTCTGAGTAATTTGAACCAATGGCCTTCAGAAGGTATGGGAGCTATTTTCAAATTTGAAGTGTGGTAGCCTGCCTGACAATGAAGTTTTTTATGTTGAGTACTGTATTACATTTGATTACGTGATAATTTCTTAATTTTTCGTTGGGGAAATATATAGACATCCTTCCATCTTGGAGGCCTGCAGTGGAATCCTACTTCAGAAAAGTAGTGTAAGTTATATTCGCCTTTGAAAAAATTTACTTCCCAGCATTCTGCACTAAGTAAGAACTGTTGTTCAGGAATGATAAATTGATAGTTTTTTTAGGAGCTTTTCATCATAAATGTAAATGTATGTGTCGTGTGTACATGAAGGGTAGTGCTATTCACACGCCCTCTTTTACCTCCCACACACCCTTCTTAATTTTTGTCCATTGATCTTCTTCAATTCATTCGATCCAATGACTGGAAATTGAGAGGGGTGTGTGAGAAGTAAAAATGGGTGGGTGGATAGCACCACCCATATATGAATTTCTGATGTTATATATGCTGTCTCAGGTCTGCTGGAAAAAGATTAATCTCTCTGATTGCCCTGGCTTTAAACCTGGATGAGGACTTTTTCGAGAAAGTGGGGGCAATGAATAAACCAAGGGGTTTTCTTCGACTTTTGCACTATCCAGGTGTAGTAGCACTCTTCAGCTAAAATATATCACTCCATTTCTTTTCTTGTTTTTGTAATTTTTTGAATAATATTTCTTGTAGGTTCGGCCTTCTGTATTTCATTGTTTTTTCTTTCTTTCTTTCACTTTCATGGTTTCGGTATGCATTATTTCAGGTGAGCTGGGATCAACTGGTGAAGAAATATATGGTGCTTCTGCTCATTCAGATTATGGCATGGTCACACTCCTTGCATCCAATGGAGTTCCTGGACTTCAGGCATGCTTTTTGTTTGTTAGATTTTGTCAGCATCGAACACCTAGTGGTCCCCTTTCAAGCTCAATTATGATATTCTTTTCTTTGACTTCCTGTTAACACTTG